CGGACCCCCTGCTGTGCCTGGCGTCCTACCCCCCCCACCAAGTGTGCCTTTTCTAGATGGGCGCTGGTGCTGTGGTCAGTGATGCAGAGAGATCATAATGCGCTACCCCACTGGTTTGTGGGCTCACACACTGTTTTTGTTAAAAGCGACTTTTATTCTCTTATCTGTTCTGTTAAGATTTTTTTGTGTGTTTTTTTTTTTTAATATATTTTTATTGATTTCAGAGAGAGGAAGGGGAGGGAGAGAGAGAGAGAAACATCAATGATGAGAGATTCGTCATTGATCAGCTGAAATTTTCTTTATTTTTCTTAGTTGGTGTTGGTACCTGCTTTACCTCACAGAAATTTTCTTTGAAAGGATTTCATTTAGTCAGCCCTCCAGCCCCGATGTTTGTTGTCCAGGTTTCTGCAATATGAGGTCTCAGGGATCTGCCATAGGGAGGCACCTGAGAATGAACCAACTGAACCAGGCCAGCGTCAGATTAGGTTAATTTGCACAAACAGAGGGGGGAACAGCTATGCTGATAGTTGCAGCTGGGCTTCCGACTCTGTTTCTAGCTTTGTTTCCAAATAAGCCGTAAAGCTATGAACTTCAGGTCCTATTTCGCTTTCAGGAAGTCTTTGGCCCTGTTTCTTCTGTTACCTTACTGTAGTGAGTTAATTTTTCAAGTGTTTTGATAATTGATGGTATTTTTTGGCCAGTGGGAGTGTGGTGGGCAATGTGCACAGTTTGTCAATTTGATGCCAACTCTATTTGATGCCACTGCTATTACCATCAATTATAGCAGTGACTTTGAGCTCCCCTGAAAGGATGCGTTCATCTACCCAATTCCCAGGCCTAATTCTGACCACCCTGCCATGGACAATATCTGCTTGGTTGTCACAAGTTAAGTTTTGACATCTAATTAACCCATAAAACAGAAAGCAAAACCAGTGACTTTGGCTCCTCCATTTGGCGTTCCTGTTTCCTGTCTGGTATACTGGAGCTGTAAAATGCATAACATTCCTGTTGATATTTAGTTAAATGAGACAAACATTTTGGTCATAGTTTTTTCTCTTTCTTTCTACTTCTTATAGAGGGGAGAGTTCCCTACCCCATTGGCTCCCTTCTGATTATGTCACACCCTCCCACAGGGCATTGGGGTAATCTGCTGGGGCCTTTTATTTGTAGCAACTTGAGTTTATGATTTTCACACATGGAATGGCGATTAAAAGGGAGGCTGGTTTCTGTGTTTAGCTGGACACAGTGACAATGAAGTTGTACAGGTTGTTCCAAATCTCCAAAGCCCTGTCCTTTGAAATTGCCCAAACTTGGAACGGGTGGTCCAATATTATCAGTGCTTCACCCCCTAAAATAGGCCAACCCTGTGTTCTCCTCAAACACTCAAAGAACAGCTTATGCTGATTCGAGAACAGAGGTAGGGAAAAACAGGCCTTTTGTACGGGTCGCTGAACATTGTTGGCTTCTGTTCAGATGACACTCCGACTTGCTCTGCAAACTTTTTATGGAGGCACGATTGTGTTCTCCAGCTACCCCTGTGAAATAGGATGGTACAGCTGTTAACCACTGTCCACAACTCAGAAAATGACTCCTGAGGGGCTCAGTGAGTGCCAGGCACACTTTCCAGATATCAGTATAATGACACTTAGTGTTCAACTGGTAGGCTTGTTATACAAATTACGTCCCTGATGGGGAAAAATAATCTGGCTTAAATAGTACAGAAAGAGGAACGGCTGTATAAACATGGACTTCTGCTTACTCTTTACCAGCCCTCCTGCTGGGCATGTTGCCTCATTTCCTGTCCAATTGCAGAAACTACTCAGCAAATCATGGTAGCATAAGCCACAATCTGATAGTGACTGTAGCTCTTCCTTTATTTTATATTATGGAATTAATATAATCGTCACTGAACTGGTGATATTTTTCTGAATAATGCAATGACAGAAGAATCAACTTCTTTCATGGATTTTGGGGTGGGGATGGGGGTCCCTCTGCCTGCCTAAGGCACTCTAATAGGGGAAGGCTGGGTTCTTCTCTTCCTCAGGAGCTGGAGGAAGTTTGTGCTAAAACTGAAATACGATCTGTTCTTTATGAAATAGCCAAGACTGGCTCTGCCACAGAAGTTTTATTTTCAAAACTGGTCTATACAGGGAAAATGAACAAATGATTTTATAATTTTAAAAATTTGTAAGGTCGCAAGACATTATACAACAAACAACTAAACTAAAAGAAAGCCTCTCTCTTAATCCTTTATAGAACATTCTGCCAAATGTGGATCTCACATATTCAACAGCCATAGGTTAGGGACCACTGGGACTCGAGCTCTGAACTGACCTTGGTTTTTGATAAGCAGTAGGACTTTGCTAATTTGGACTCATCAGGAGAAGTTCAGTAAAAAGATAAGTTATAGATTAGTCAAAGCCTTAGTCCAAGTATTTTATGTCTATTAGTAATTTTGGCTGCTAATGATATATATATACTAATTAGAACTATATTTTTTCATAAATAATTATAATACTTTTATCCTCTGAAAGCTTTATGTAAGTCAAAGATAACCCGATAAACTTGTTTGTATTATTGTATTTTGTAAATTGTACCATAGTGTATTATTTTTCTAGGACTACAGTAACTACCGCGAACTGGGTGGCTTACAACAAATGTATTCTCTCACAGTTTTGGAGGCTAGGAGTCTGAGATCAAGATGTCAGCAGGGCCGCATTCCCTCCAGAGGCTCTAAAGAAGACTCCTCCTATCCCTCCTAGCTTCTGGTGTTTCTGGTGTCCTTGGCTTGCTGCCGCATAGCTCTGATAGATACCTCCATCCTCACAGGAGGCTCTCCTCTCTGTCTCCATCTTTGCATAGCTTCCACCAGTCATTGGAATGAAGACCCGCTTTAATCCAGCAAGACCTCATCCACACTAAACTAACTATATCTGCAGAGATCCTATTTCCAAATAAGGTCACATTCTGAGGTTCCAGGTGAATGTGAACTTTATTGGGACACTGTTCAACCCAGTACACGTTAGCTAGCAGAATGTTTAATTTTATAGCTCAGCCTAGATCAAAAGTTCACAAATTTTTATTAAAATGACTCAAATCAAGGAAACTGACAACACCTAGTGCTGACGGGAATGTGCAAATGCTACTATCATACATTGCTGGTGGGAATGAAATAGCCACTTTGGAAAACAGTCTGGAAGTTTCTCATAAAGTTAAATATGCACTTATCATACAACCCAGGAATTCCACCCCTAGGTATTTAGCCAAGAGAAATGAAGAAGATATCCTCTCAAAAGCTTATAAGCAAATTTTAATAGCAGCTTTATTCATAATCATTAAAAGCTAGAAACACCCTAATGTCCTGCAGCTGTGAACAGATAAACAAATTGTGCTATATCCATAAATGGACTAAGAAGGAATGAAAAACATAGACAAGTCTCAAAAGCACTTCACTAAGTGAAAGAAGCCAGATAAAAAAAATGGCTAGATGCTGTAGGATTCCATTTATATGACATTCTAAAAAGGCAAAATTATGGGAGAGAAAGCATATTGATGCTTTCTAGGGATTAGGGATGAAGGGAGGAGATTAGCTCCAAAGGGGCACAAGGGAACTTTCTGATGTGAGGGAGTTTTGATTGTGGTGGTGGTGGTTACAGGACTATCTAAATTTGTCAAAATTCAGAGAACTATACATCTGAAAATATTAAAATTTACCATACATAAGTTATTTCTCAACAACAACAACAAAAAATACTCCTTACTCTGTGATCATCCCCCCAAAAGGACGTGATTAGGCCTAGTGGCCTTTGCCTTTTCCTGGTCATTTTCTCTGTGTAGCAGAGCATGTTAGTTCAGGACATAAGACTTGCAAATGCAGGAACTTCTTGGGGCCCCCTGCTCTGCTGATTTTCATGTTCTTTCGCCTGATGAAGCTAAGACTGGAAACTACACAGCAAAGAAACAATTACTTCCTAGGTTAGAACTGAATGTCATTTGTCGAATAATGAATTCAGCCCAGAATGTGTTGTTGCAGGAAGAAGGGACAGTTGTCTTTTGGTATCTGGTTTCAGGCCTGTTTTGAAAGACATTCTCAGAAGAAGACAAGTACACATTGTACATGCATTTGTAGTGTATGAGGTAAAAACATTAGGCCATAACCACATTTTCAGTTCTTTGTAAAGAACACATCCCTTTGAAGCCGCAAAGTACTTGGTTTAACCTCACCGTTAATCCTGAAAAGTATTGGCTTATCATGGGTATTGTAATTCTGCAAATTTTCTATGACTGTGGGAGGACCTAAAAAACAATACTGTCCTACCCCCAGATCAAAAGCATATTTTTTCCACTCTAGATTCTTACATTTAAAATGTAAATGTAAACATTCTTTGCTTGAGGGTTCTTTGGTAAGTGTTATATACTTCATGAATATGCAAAGCAGGTAGCAATAGCTCTCTGCCCTTATCTCTTTCTTGGCAGAGGCTGGGGAAATCATGGGAGGGCATTCCCTGCCTCATTTCTGGATGGCTGCATTTTCATAATT